CCCCTACCAGTACACACACACACTCATGTCATCAGTCCAGATCTAGATTGGACTTAATGAGAGCCCTGTATGCATACAGCCCATAACTCAACATAGCATACTGACCTACTGACTCCCCAACTGGCCAGAGGAGTGTGTGTGTGTGTGTGTGTGTGTGTGTGTGTGTAAAGCTGTGTCTATATGTTTGACTGTGTAAGAGAGACTAGTTGTGTTTGTTTGACCATGTTCTGCTCTGTGTGTGCGTGTATGCAACAGTTTTTCGTGTGTATTTTCCTGCTCACAGCAATGTCAAACTAGCAGCTGAATCTATCCAGTTTCAGCGAGAAGTCATCGATCTCGCTGCAAAGCGTGATCGGAGAACATGGGATGCAAACCAAAACTGATGACAGAACAAGAAAATTAAACTTGAGTTATAGAAATGCAAATGAGGGCAACGCTTGCAGCAAGACAGCCCATCACATTGGGGGAAATGAGGCAGCACAGGCTCTCTACTGGCAGAAGCTGAAAAATGTGATTGTTGCTGAATCATGGTTTGGAAAGGATGTTATAATTTTGAGTTTTATTCCCAAACTGAATGATCCAGGTTTTCAAACATACAGAAGCTGCACAAAAGAGAGCGGCAGATGAAGATGACGTCGGTGTGTAGATAATTGTAGAAAGAGTTAAGCCATTGCCTTTCAACTAACCTTCATTTCTAGCAAATAATTAGATGTTTTCACCTTGTTGCAGCAGAGAAATAATATCAAATATGTAAACAAACTTGATGAGCAATGCACTCAAAGGGCCATAAGCAGCTGAATAAAAATGGTGATAGCGATGACATGAATTAATTGCATGCTAAAGGGGATTTTCTATCTCTCTGTTGGAAATTTACTGAATCATTCCCTGTTCTGTTGGAGTTCGGCATACAGTCAATATTTTCATTTGCAAATTATGATTTATCAAATTTGGAAAGCTGAGTGGAAATGGCAAAACTCAATCACATGTCCTCAGAACAAAGTTATTTAAGTTAATCGATGTAGAAAGTCTTTCCAGCAGTAAATAAATCATTTAACAAATGGAAAAAGAAATGCACTGTTTTTGAGTGATCACTGACCAAGTTTCCATGGCTGCTCCAGGCACATTGCACAACGGTCTCTGTCCACCAAAACCAGCCAGAAAGGACATTTGTACTGTCACTCCCGCACATAACTCTTCATTAGTTGCTCTGTTGTAATACAGCCAAATTCATTTCTTTATTTTTGTCTTCGCAAAGGATACAACATTTACCAACTCTGTAGAAGACAAAAAAGTTACTTAAATCTAATCAGCTCTTGAAGGACGCATTTTTCTACTGATTGTTTTTTTGACTGTGGACTTATTCCTTGCAAGCTCAGCTGAAGGAACTGCACGTCATTTCCATTCAAAATTTTGCGTAAAATTTGCCTGACAGTTTGGAAACAGCGACTGCTCGTCTGCCCTCTACCTCTCTGACTTACCGCCTGTCTACCTGGTCGTCTCATCTTTTCCATCTGTCTGCCTGTCATCTATCACTGAGGCTGGGTGACTCCCAGCTGTCTGTCACAAAAAGAGCAAAAAGAGGAAGAGGGCGGGTGGTGGATGAGATGAAGAGCTGGAGAGAGAGAGAGAAACAAGGCAGCACATAAAACTGCAGTAGCTTGTAATGGTGTTTCCTAGACATTAATTAGCCGCAGTCATTCCTGTACAAACACACAGTAATAAAACTGATATACTGAGATCCACTCCTCGCCTCCTTTCCCCTCTGCTGTCCTCACCTCTTATGTTCTCTTCTCTTTCCCTTCTTCTACTTCTTCACCTTTCTTCTGCTCTTCTCCTCACTGGTGAGGAGTATGATGAAGAAGAAGGGAGAGAATGTTGGCAGAAGGGGAAAAAAGAGAAGGATTAAGGAAGAGTGGATCACCCTCAGTCTCTGTCTGTCCTCCTCTCGTATAGCTGAAGGGGACGGCAAGATTAATCATGGCCTTGGCGCACGCACGCACGCATGCACGCACACCGAAATGCACACAGTTGGAGAGGAACACACATAACTTGAATGCACACATGGACAGTCACAGTGGGTTGTACATAAACAAATACAAATAACACACACTGTTAAACACACACACTCGCAGTTGTACACACACACACACACACACACACACACACACACACTTGCATTATTTATTTGTGCTGGCTGGCAGACAGTGGAGGCAGCCAAGCAGCAGAAGCAAGGATGCTGCTTTTTACATATGGCCTTTTCATATACTGCTCTGTGACACACACACACACACACACACACACACACACACACACACACACAGTCTCATCCTGTCTTGTCTTTCATCTCTCTTTCCACTTACATTAATATCACCCTCTTCTTTTTTTCTCTTTCTCTCTCTCATTCCTCTCATACTTGGTGGTAATTTGTCTTCTTTTTCTCCTGATCTTGCCCCCACCTCCTCTCTCTTCACTTAGTTGAACAATTCTCCTCTTCCTATTCATTTCTCTGTCCTCTTACATCACTATCGTTCTCTGTCTTCCCCTTTCCTGAACAGTATTTTTTTCCCCAGCAGTCTAAAAGATCAGCTCCCCTGAGTGTCAAGGCAGATATACAGCATATTACCGCTTCTCTGGCTACTTCTTCCCTGGTAACACAGTCTTTATATCTCTCTTTGATTCAGTCTCTTTCTCTGCTCTATAATGTTTCCCACCCAGATTTATCCTGCTGGTCCACCGATTGAACCAGCAACCTTCTGTCCACAAGAAGTGATAGATTGGGAAAACCGCTCGGCCAATTAATCAGGCATTGGCCGATACCTGCACTCACGAGGCCGATATATCATCCTAAATGATAGCAGATCTAATCTAAAACCATTACTGGCTTGTGTTAAATATATATTGCTATACTGTACAGAATAATGCAGTTGAATGACGTCACTTGTGAAACATGTGAAACAAACCAGTCAAGTTCTGAAATCTACAGCATAAGCCAATGTTTCATTAATAAATAAAAATTACATTTATAATTGCACGTTACTGGCTAAGATAACCATGTATATTAGATTGTTATCTGTATGGAATAATGGGATTATACATGACTTTTCTTTGTTTTGATATCAACGAACTGCTGCCATGCTCTCTAAATATCAGAATCGGCCATTGAAAACCCTCTATTGGTTCTAAGTCCAAGTCCGCTTCTTCATGAGATGTATTTATTGTTTATATTGCTTCTTGTCACACTTTTTATATACAAAAATATTGTGTTTCAGCAAATTAGGGGTGGTCATTTCATACTGTGAAAGCTATATATATTGTGATATGGAAAATGTAAAGGAAACTCAATTGACAAACTTTCTCTCCATCTCTTGTGCTCTTTTTCGTAGATTTCTATTTTTAATTTGCTTCTTTCTTCCGCCAGCTTATGTTATTTCACTCCCTGTCCATCGCGCCCTCTTCTGTTTCTCTCTTATTACCATGTTTTTCTTCTCACAAGTCTCTTTTTGATACCACTTTTTCTACTTTGTCTGTGTCTATCAGGTCAAAATAAAGAAGGTAAAGGAATGGAGAGGTTAATGGAGAGACGGAGGGGGGGAGCAAGGGAGTAGGTTGGAGGAGGACAGCCTATTTTGCAGGGATAAGGAGGCTTAGAAAGAAATGATAAAATGTAGAGTGAAGTCATACGGTTGATTTTGCACTGCCTGTGTGTTGCTTGTTGTCCTGTGTGGGTTTGTGTGTTTATGTGTGTGTGTTTTCTTGGCTGATGTCCTTGACTTTATGACTGATTATATCATTGCTTCAGGTCCCTGTTAGAACAGACAGAGAGGGAGCGAGAGAGTTTGAGTATGTGCGTGTCTGTGTAGGTGTGTGTTTGTTTGAGAATGATTATGTCTGCTTGAATACACCCTCTCCCTCTGGTCTTCAAAACACTGCATCATGCACAACCACACCTTGTTTGTTTTTATAGAATCCTCCTACATACACACTCATTTAATAAGTATATATTCTATATATATACCTGTGCTGAATGTTGTTAGTTCTAACCTGTAAAGGTCTCCATATTAACAATATAGTTAATGGTTACTGTGACCACAACACTTCAGCTTATCAGTCTTCCTCTTCCTTCTCACCTTTCTACTTCCTCTGTCAGGTTCTCATTTGTCTTACATTTTGCATCTTTTCCTTGCATCTTAGTCACTCGCATATAAGATGTGGAGAAGAGATGTAATGAAAAGATGTAAGTCAGAACAAGAAAAATATGAATTGCCTTTATTCCCAAGTAGGTTTACACATATAAGGAATTGCTTTGGTCTTTTGGAGCATAACAGAAAACATAGTAGGCAGAAAATATATCACACAGGAAAACAGTGTTCTGAAGAGTTACATACTGTTTTTTTTTTTCATTTAGCATTTCAAGCAGTTGCATGTGAGTTGTCTGTTCAAATAAAAAGCTGAATCCTTTACCTGAAGCTAATGATGAAATTGTTTGTACTGCCTGCATCATTTTTTAAGAAAAGATTGGTCGTGGAGTATTTAGAATCGAGGAAGAAAATTGTGTAATTGACTAGTACCAGAATAGAAATATAAATAATAATAGACAAATAAAATGTTTTTATTGCTGAAAGATAACAGGCAGCAATGATGAAAAGTTGTACAAATAGTCTAAGGACTGCACTCCTGCCAACAATGAGCCAATATGCTGGTTAAAATGAATGATAAGCCACAAAAAAAGCATGAACATTGTTTATGGTTCCTTTTTTAATCGGGCCAACAGTAAACACCTTCCCTGTCTTTATCTGTCCTACTCCCCTTTTCCTCCTTCCCTCTCTTTCCTTTCCCTCTCTCATTTATTCTTCACCTCATCCCATCTTCTAAAGACACTCAGAAGTAGAATTTTGTTAACACCCCAAAACAAGTGGAAGTATATATCGTCACTGTTTTTGACCATTTAACCAAACATTTCTTACTTCACCTCTCCCCTTCCTGCCTTGCTCTCTTTGCAGGTATTTCGTACCGACTTCATCACGGCTATGAAGCTGCCGGACTCGGCCCAGCTCGGCCCGGACGACTTCTACGTGCTCTCGGATCCATGGAGACAAGAGTGGGAGAAGGGGGTTCAGGTCCCTGCCAACGTGGAGGCCATACCAGAGCCTGTGGTCAGGTAGGACACACAGACACACACACACACAGCCACAGTCAACAACTCAAGCAAGAGTGTCACATTAAGTAAATAAGAACAATACAAGGTATTGTTATCTGTTTAATACTGATTCACTAGCAGTTCAGCCTCTGGCTGGAGTGTGCTGTAGCCCACATAGATGTTAACTTCTAAACACACAGGCAGGCTTCCCACGGTCACAAAGATTTATGAGATTTGAATTTTTGTTTGCCATGACTAATAGTTGTTTTAGAAAATTGACAAATTGTCAGTGACCTGCCAATGAAATTTTGTGTATGTTTTGTATTCAGGTACAAAGTCGATACAACCTTATAAACTGAATATACTGAAGTAATTTTAAAAAATGCGATATGTGATGAGATCCAAAAAGGAACAGTGTTTGCTGAGATTATCCAACAAATTATTTTTTTTAAAGTTACACAGCTGTCGTACATTTCATTAGGAAAAAACGTTGGCACTGAAATGCAATAAAAAGCGTGGGAACCCTTTTACATAATGAAACTGCATGTCATTACACTTATTAGCATTATATATTGTTAATGCAACACATGCGCTCGCACACACTTAACACACAGAAATCTACCATCAGCTTTTTACTCTCTAACCCATTTGTACACACACTATGGGAAGTTGGGTTGGATGCATGCACAGGCAAAGAAACACACACACACACACACACACACACACACACACACACAAGCAGGCTGGTAGGCAGATGTGTGCAGGCATGCACTTCGACCCACTTATATTCACACTGTAGATTAGCCTGCCCCTGACTCTCTCTCTCTTGCCCCATAAAGGTTGTCGTGGCTCTCTAGTACTACTGCAGCTGCCTCACATACCCATGTGGTTTGTTTGGCACTCTAGGAACTAATGAAAATGCTCAGACTGCCTGGTAATGCCTATTAGACAGACATGTCATACTGGGAGACCACACGCACACATACACACACACACAAACATGCATTCTCTTTGGGAGACAGAAATCTTATCCAGTCATGTTTTGAGATTCAGTCAAATGTTCATGTGTGCATGAAAATTTTGTTTTGCTTGCCTCAAGAAAACCAGATGCAGAGGAAGCTCACTCTCGTCAAAAAAGACAAATAAAGGAAAAGTAAAAACTTCTTCAGCTAAGATTTCACACCAAAGTTGCATTTTTGTTGCTGAACATGATAGGTTGTGTACTGTAGTAAATGTTTTCCACCTCTTTTATTTGTCAGAGTTAACATGCGTGTTTCTCTTGTTTCCACTCTTGATTGGAGTTTAAGAACTTGGCGCCACTGTTTCATGATTTTGGATGCATTTTGTGCAGTTTTTCCTCCCTTTTCTCCAATCAATTCAAAAACTAGAGTGGAAAAGAGTTAGTGTTGCCACAAGTTAAAAATCCATTAAATCCAGTAATTCAGTCAGCTGATTTTAGAAATTGCTTATTTGATTTTTGAAGGTCATAAAAGCAGAGCAAAGGGCTGGTTGGTGGTTGTATGCTTAATAGCAACTCTTAACTGGGCAAATGAAACAAGAGAGGCCAGTCAGATCCAATACCATAAAATAAACACTTCAAATAAAACAAACAAAACACATAAATAAAATCAAGTGTTTCCAAAATTAAATGGCATATGTTATAACAAAACAAGAGAACTTGAAATTAATTTGTAACTAGTGAAAGTTTGACCTGAATAGAGAAATCTAGTTTCCATGACAGAAAAACACAAAATGACAAATCTTAATGAGGGCACAAGACAAAGGTAATAAATAATTTAGATGAAAATACAAAAAAATCTGGATCATCTGTACGATTGGATGATTTGAAAGGAAAAATGTGTCTGCCTTACTGTTTATATTGTCTAATAGGTTAATATCTCAGCAGACGCACATATGCGCTCGCACACTTGTGACACACACACACACATGAGAGAGCCTGAAGGCAGAGAGATAGATGAGCAGATTGGCAGTGAAAGAAGTGAAAGAGCAATGGCAAAGATGGATAAGGATAGATGGATGAATGGGGGCTTATAAATTATCTCATATCTGATAGAACGATGACGTGATATACAGTGATGCTGAAATGAAGTGATGATGGATAGATGGGGAGATAGAGGAGAAGAAGGATGAGTGTAAGTGTGACTGAGCTGATGGTCTCTGTCAGAGTGTCTGACAGCGGTTTGTTCTTTTTTTTTTCTGTCATCTTGAAACCACTCCTTTTCCATCTCTGCCTATTTCTTTTCCTCTCCTCGCTCTGTCCCTTCAAATGTTTCGGCTGAAATCTCCAGCAATACAGCTTAAGACTTCCTTGGTTTTACGCATACGAGCCCCTGTGGTCAGGCTAAATTAGCGGTAGGAAACCTTATTCCCACACAGGGAGTAATGTTCAGAAAAAATGTCTATAAGCAAGACATTTGTTTAACAAGGAAGACAATTACAGATTAAAGCTATCTTGATTCAGTTTATGAATTAGCCATAAATCAGTGCTACAAAACTGCCTCAGCTTGAAAACATTTTCTTTTGTCATATATGATATATATCTGCGATAAGCCAATATATTGGTTGCTCTCCCATTGTAAGGGGGTGTTGTATGCTGCTGGTCATGGCAACGAAGACATGTCTTGCAGAATAAAAAATACAAAAGAATATCACTGCAATCTCCTCATAACAGCCATTCAGGTTCACAATGTCCTGAATCAACTAGTCCTCCAAGAAAAATTCCATAGTAGATTTGATCCATTGTGTTATAACAGGATGTTGTACAGATATCAGATATCTGCTGTAAAAGTATGCATCTTCTAGCGGAGAACAAAATCATTTTAAGCAACTGAACCTTGGAAGAACTGAGGGAAATTGATGGGAGAATCTCTGATACACGCAACTGAAGCAAGGCTTTAGTGCAGCGTTGTGGCGTAAAATCAAAGCGCTACGCTGTGCTCATGGTAGCGCTGCCACATAGTTTGACTTCGACAAGGTTGGACTTGCTCTGTCCACGGAAGAAAAACAATGGCTCACATCAGTGCAAAGAGATTTTGCTGTTGATCATGTGGGCTGTGGCACAGGTGTCTCCAGACTTGTAGGGATTACATTTTCTAAAAGAAATCTCACTTAACTTAGTATGATGTGCAGCAGTACTGTACTCCATTTTTAAAATTTTGCTTTATTGGAAAGTTGAAGGGAGAGAAGCAGTAGGAAATGTGAGTTGGATGCTGGAATGTTAAAGCAATAGTCTGAGTATTTGCTTTCTGGCAGAAATTTTGGATGAGAAGATTGATTCTGCTCTCATATCTGTTCAGCTACAGCCAGTTAGCTTAGCTTAGTACACAGACTGGAAACAGCAGGAAACTGCTATCCCAGCTAATCCCCATTTCACCACCTCTCACAAGGCTCACTAATCAATACATTTATATCTAGTTATCATTCCTTCAAGGTTACATGGTGCATCTTTGACTGCTTTCTTTTGAACTTTAGCTCATATTTAGGAGATTTTGTTAATACAAAAATAAGAGTAAATTGAGGAGAAGTATGAATTGTTTGTCTCCTTCCTCTCCCTCTCCCCATTTATGTCTTATATGTGTCTTTCTCTTTTCTATTAGTTATTTTTGTCCTGATCCAACTCTCCTGTTTCCTCTCTCCTGTTTCTTTTTTTTTAAACGTGTGTCTTCATCTCTACATTGCTCCCTTTCCCTGGCTTCCCTCCTTCCCCTCTTACTTTTGCTCTAGTTGAGCCGGAGGCGCAGACACATTTTTCTTTTTCTATTTTTTTTATGAATAATGACATCATCTCCAAAAATTGTTGGAGAGGAAAAGGGCTGTGGGCCCTGTCTGGCTTTGACAACACACGTCTTCCACATTTGTCTCTCTCTCTTTGGACCATATTTGGCCGCTGCTGCATGAGTTTCGGTAAAACTGTTGTGGCGGATGGTGAAGAGGTCATTATGGTTTGATGTTGGTTTTTTTTGTGCCTCTTACCAAAACGCTGCAGCAGAGACGCAGGGAGAGGAGGGAGATGAGGAGTCTTTAGCCCTCCTTCCTCTCTGTCTTTTCATCCTCCTTTCTCTCTTTGTCATTCTCCTCCTCTTTTTTCTCTCCTGTTTCTTTCTCTTTCTCCATCCTCTGCCCTTCATCTCCTTTATAATTTCTCTCCTTCCTCTCTGACTCTTCTCTTGTCCGCCTCTCCGGCCGTCCATCCTCCCCTCTATCTATTTTATTTTATCACTCACTTACCCCCCATTTCCCCCTTCTCTCTTTCTTTTTCCCTCTCTCTCTCCACGGTTTTGTCTGGGCTGAGTGGAAGTAATTAGCCATTGCGTAACACTGGCTATGTGCAGACAGTGAATGGGGCTTTGGCAGCGACTCAACAGCCTCGGTCCCCAATGACAACGCTTAGCCGGAGAGGGAAATAATTACACATACACATGAGAAGATCTGCGCCTTTTCACAAAATGAAAGAAATGAGATAGTGGTTATTTTATTTATTGCTTCATTTTTGCCCCCTTGGACTGGTGGCCGAGTCGGTAAATGTGAACCCGTTGTTTGTGGTTTGGCGGAACGTGCTGGCTTTCTGAACGGCGTGTAAAACTGCGGCCGCAGGGAGTGACACATGGAGAAACTCCTTACCAAAGTGGCTTATGTGCTGCTGGACAGTAGGAGTTTGACTGTGTATTTAAAAAAAAATATATATGTGTGTGTGTGTGTATAGAGGCTATATATATATATATATATATATATATATATATATATATATATATATATATATTTAAAGGTATTGATTGATTGGTTGACAGACTTCAAGAATCCAAGGAACTCGTGGAATGTAAAGCTTCAGGTCAGTTACAGGCACACGTCATGTGAATATCTGTTGGTCAGGTTTCTGGCAGCTGTGATCATATGCATATGGATGCGATGTAAAACCTTCGGTCAACAAGCTTTAACCCCTCACTTACAATTGATGCTGTAGAGGTGATGGTCCAGCTTTCAGTGCAACGTAAACAAAAAAA